GGCCTCGAGAAAAACGTAGATGACGATGTGCAACGTGTCGAAAAGGTGTTTGGTAAATGCAAGCTCAACAAACATTCCCATGCGAGCTGCGCCGTTCGCTACACCAAGAATGAACAAGGGGATGTGATCATGGATCAGGACGAGTACATTGAACAACCACGTCCTATCACACACCCTGAACTTACGGGAGCGGCGGCCGACGCCAAAGCTACCCAACTCATCACCGACATGTTCGTTGGCCTGCGAGGAGCTCTCGCCTATGCCCTTCTTACTCAAGTCTGGCTGATGGTGTATGTGGTCTCTCTCCAGAAGATCCAAGAGCCCACCAACTTACAAGTCAGACGACTGAATGCTGTGACGCGAAAGTTGATCAGCAGCCCGAAACGCATCACCTTCCCCCGGATGAAACCGACGAACGAAGTAGACATACACAGTGATTCGGGGTATCGGAAGCTCACCGGGGAGGGAGACGATGAGACCAAGGGCTACGGCATCCGTGGGGCTAACGTATTACAGCGAGGAAACTCGCCTCAAGGCAAATCCGTCATCTACCTTTGCGACGGACTATGCAAATCACACCGATTGCAGGTGAGGTCCAGCTATGCCGCTAAGGCACTTGCAGCTGCACACAACCTTGATGAATGCTACCCCACGCTCATCACTCTGCACGAGCTCAAGGCAGGGGCACCTACTCCACGACAACAACGTGATATGCGTGAAGTTGGAGGCCTAGCCATTAAAGTATCCCTTACTATAGACGCTGAGTCTGTATACAAATCGCTATCCAGCAAAGATCTTAATATGCCGACGGAACGGACTTTGCTGGGGCATGTCAGCTGGATACGTGAGCTCATGGATACAGGTATAGTGCACAACGTACAGCGGTGTGATACTAGACATGACCGCAGATGGGCATACAAAGGGGAGTATCGATCGGGAGCGGCTGTTGGAGGTGATGTCAGGCACTCAGTCATCTAAGTATGACGTGAAGCAGTTTGTTCCCTTTCGGGGTCCTGAGGACAGAATCAAGCCTATGTCAAATCAGTTCTAGTCTGTCCTTGTTGCCCCCCGCGGTCCAGTCTGCCAGCGCGGGCGCCTAATACAGAGGCGCCCTCCTAGTTGCTCGGAAACGAGCCTTACTTTTCACGCTTGGCAACGAGCCTGTTCAGATTGATTCAGGCTCTTTGCCTTAATACCCTTTTGCTCGGAGAGGTATAGCCTGTTTGGCTTGCCTCTAGCCGGGCCGATAGCCTTTGATGTCCAAAGGGCTATCTTGCGTATGCGTGAAAATGCTTTGCGAGGAAACTCGCCCTACAGTCTTGTGTTCGGCCAGACTGTGCGTACTGTTTTCTTGGAAACAGTCGTGAGCGCGGCCTTTGTGGAGCCTAACGGCTGCGCGGCTATGCTCACCGTCTCTCCCCCCCCCCCCCCCCCCCCCCCCCCCCCCCGACTTTAAGGGTAGCTCTGTGGGAGATGATATATAGCATCGGGAGTATAGCTCGCGCGCCGTTGCCTTTGGCTCAAGGCACGCGCGCCCTATTTGCCCGGGCACTGCTGGCGTTCGCTATGTGCTGGAAAGATCATTACATCGATCTTATCCCATCTTATCCGTCCACCCCCCATACTGAACTACCCCAGCATGGCATTGGACGCTATCTGCCATCCGCTTCCCATGGAATCGGATGCTATTTGACTTACCATAGTCATTTCAGACTAAAGCTGCGAATAGTGTCGGTGACGGTCATGGCGACGGCACGCCCCGGCGAAGATGAGAGGGGGGGACGAGGAGGGAGGAAGGACACATCAAGAAAATGAGGATGAGCAGGAGGAGGACGACGACGCGCGATTGTGGGAGGGAGGGGTTCGATATCTCGATGTGCAACTCGTCTGTAGCGTTGTGGATTTCAACAGGCGGCGATATGGAGATGTCATGAGCCCACCTCCGATATCGAGATATTGAGTATGACCGCCCCGCTGCTCCCCGGTGCGTATCCATAATAATCGCCGTCATCGGTTGCAGCTCCATATGCATCTTCATTTTGATCACCATCGTCCTCGTCACCATTATCATCAGCATCGTCGCCATCATCCTCATATTCACCTTCAGCGTCGTCATCGCCGCCCCAGGAATCTGGACTTTGGCGCGCCCGCCCGACCTGCCTGGGCCCCTATGGCCCAGATTCAGACAAGGGGAACATTCCTCATTCGCGCCCTGCGCTGCGGACGGGCTCTGCTCGAGCGGGCCCGCGTTGACCCACGGGCCGTGCGCGAGGAAATTCGGGTCCTGGGCAGGGGGGGATATGGGGTGCGGGGGCGAGACGCCGCGCGTCAAGCCCGCCCCGAACGCCCCCCCCCACCCACCCACCCCTACCCACCCACCCACCCGCACCGTCGAGATATCGAGCTAACGAGTCCCCGCCCCCGATGCCGAACTATCGAGATACCAAGATATCGAGCCCCCCGCTTGGCCCCGCCCCCCGCATCGAAATATCGTGATATAAAGTCGCCGCCCCCGATAGCGGGACATCGAGATGTCGAGTTCCCGCCCCCCGATATCGAGATATCGAGATGTCGAGTCAACGCCCAGCCGCGCCCCCGGATATCGAGATATCGAGATATCGAGTCCGGGCGAAGAAAAAACATCTCGGTTTACCGGGGCGCTTGGCCCACGCGCCGAAGTTTTTGCGTTGTTGAGCTCCACGAGGGCGCGCGGCGGCAGCAGCGAAAAATTGAAGCAATGACGGCAGGGAAGACACAAGGTACATCTCCAAGAGAAAACACAAAAGGCTAAACAAGCGATGGTCCAAAGCGACGGGCCTAAACACGCTGACAAAGACATAGACGCTAAGCCATCGTAGCGTTTTTGCTCCGCTTTGTTTGATTGTCAGCATCCCAAAGTGCAAGCCGGTAGAACAACGCCGATGGCGCTTTCAATAACAAACAAAGTAAGAGGAAATTTGGTTGCAACCGCGAGCTGCGCACTATGCAGCCCAAGTGCCAAAACGGGCTTCGCAACAGGTGGCCCAAAAGCCGACCACCACCATTACTTCGCCAAGTGCGCCACCAAGACCGACGCCACGAACGACGCGACCGCGCAGCCTGAAAGGGCGACGAAGCACGTCATCGTGGAAGTGGTGGGAAGGCTCGGGCGGGCAATTTGGAACATGAGAGCGAGGGTATAGGCTGGGGCAGAGCTACCAGGGCCAACAGAAGACCTTCGGGGGCCTCGAGCTGAACTACAAGGACTACACGCACAGCTACGAGAGCCACCACGAGTGCTTCGAGACCCACCTGCCGAGCTACGAGAGCCACCAAGAGAGCCGCGTGAGCCACGAGCTGGATCTCGAGGACTGCGAGCTGATGCGCGTGAACAACAAGCAAGGTCACGAAGTCCAACAGCCGAGCCACCAGAATAGCTACGTGGACTTCCAGAAGACGTATCTGAGCCACCAGCTCAGCTACGAGAGCCACAAGCAGAGCTTCGGGAACCATCGGCGGAGCCACGAAGTCCACTTGGAAAATACGAGGGCCACAACTTGAGCTTCGAGGGCAACGGCAGAGATACCAGGGACACCAGCGCCCCTTCTAGGACCACGAGCTGCACTGTTACGAGATCCACCAGAAGATCCTCAATACCCCCTTGCCGAGCTACGAGAGCTTCTAGCAAAGCCGCGAGAGCCACTAGCTGAGCCACACGATCCACAAGCTGAGTTACGAAGCCCACAAGCAGGATTACGAGGTCCAATGGCTAGACCACGAGCGCCATGTGCTGCGCCGCGAGGGCCACCGGCTAAATTACGAGGACCACCAGCTGAGCCACCAGAGGCGCCGACTGGTACGAGGAGAACGCGCATAATTACGAGGATCACAGGCACAGCCACTACAGCCACTACAGCCACCAGAAAAGCTACCAGGGCACCTCCCTTCAGATAATGCTGATCCTGAGGCACACGCCCGCGATCTAGCCGCTGATGAGGAGGCTGCTGAATTTTTATTCTCCTGATGTGCCCCCCAAGAGGTCCTTTCTAAGGCCCCCTCGTCCAGACCCGTAGCTAGACTCCTATTCACTCTCCCTCTTTCTTGCTATTCTCGAGGAGTAGGAGATGAGGAACACTTCCCTCCCCCTCCTTCGTCACCCGCCATAGCAGGATTTTCTTTTTGTAGTCGCATTCCACACGAGCAGCTTGTCTGTAAGTCTTCAGCTCTGGTCAGTGCGGGGTCTCCTCCCTGGGCCGCCTTCAGGGATTTCCAACGCACAGCGCATGCCAGCCCGCATCAAGCGTGCTGCACCGTTGTAGCGACAGGCCATGCGCAGCAGGCAAGAGGCAGTTCGGCACTGCAGCGACGAGCAAGGAATGTATCTAATCTTTATGCGGGTACGGCGGTACCAGTCAGGGCTTCGGTGTTGCTGGTGCGGTCGCACCCGCCACGCGTGGACACTCCCACCTGTGAAACTAGTTTCATCCGTAACCGCTCCCACGTCGTCGTAGAACAAAAATCGCAGAGTTTCGGGGTCCACAAGACGAGCTAGGCCCAGACGCACAGCTACGAGGCCCACGGGCACAGCGACAAGGACTGCGAGTTGAGCTACGAAGACCACGGGGGCAGCTACGAGAGCTACCAGGTACCAGGACCACCCCCTGAGCTACAAGGGCCTCGCGCAGAGCTTCGAGGGCCACCGGCCGAGCTACAAGGGCCACAAGCTGAGCAGCGAGAGCCTCTAGCAGAGTTACGAGAGCCACCAGCTGAACCAGAAGAGCTACGAGCAGAGCCTCGAGAGCTTTCAGCAGAGCTAAGCCTCCACCTGCGCTGCGTGTGCTGACGGAGAGTTACGAGCGCCGCGGGCTGAGCTGCGAGATTCACCAGCGGTGCTACCATAGTCACCTCCTAAGCAAAGAGTGGAATCGAATGGAAGTCCGCAAGGGAAGCAACATATTGAAAAAAGGCCAGCTCGGCGCCCCCGCTGGGGCCGCTGGAAGGCTAGCCCCGCGCAGCCTCGCCTACTCCTCGAGGTCGGAAGCGCATTCTTCCGTGGCTCCAGCGCGCCGCCGCTGGCGCCGGCGATGCACGGCCGCCTCCGCGTCCTCCTCGCCCAGGCCGTGGGCTGCCGAGAACCTCGGCCAGCATGCGCCTGGGCGCCTTGGCACCAGGCGCGCGGCGAGGTCTGCGGAACTCGGCCCCCGCAGCCTGGAGAGCACCAGCGTCCGGCATTGACGGTGCCCTGAGTGCCGGCCGTCAGCCAGGCGGGCCTTCTGGCGCTGGAGCGCGGTTGCGGTTGCTCCGCGGCGCGCGCCTGCCAGGTTGCGGGCGCATTTCGCGCCGTAGGCCCCGCGCCGCAGACGCGCCGCCAGGGTCTGAGGCGGGCGGCCGGGAGCGGCGGCCTCGGCAGCCTTGAGCTGATGCGGAGCTGCCCTGGGCCCACTGCGCGCCGCTCCTCCGACGCCGCCGCCGTCGACGGCCGCGGGCTCAGCGCTGGCTTCGGCGTGCTCGGTGCTGGGGCCGTCGCCGACGACGAGCTCCACCTCGGCGCCGCCCTCAGGCTGCCCCTGCGGCCGGGCCCCCAAGTCGTCGCAGCCTTTGCTGCCGTCGTCGGCCAGGATCGCGCGGAGCTCCCCCGACCAGCGCGCGGCCTCCTGGGCGACGTCGCACAGCGCGAGCGCGAGCTCCTCAGCCTCCATGGGCACGCCGTTGCACTCTGCCCCGCGCTTGGTCCACGTGTCGGCGGCTGCGCTGCCGGCGCACCCCCAGTGGGTTGCCCCCCCCCGCATCGACGTCGGCGCGCGCGGCGTGGGCGAGGGCCTTCGTGACTGCGAGATCTCCGATCGCAAAGGGGCCCCAACATGGCCCCCACAGGTGGGCCCGCTCGTCTCCTGAGGAGCACCCTGGCCCGCGCCTCAGGGCGGCCGCGGTGTCGGCGCCGTCGACGAAGAGGTCGAGGTGCCCACTGGCCGTCGCGGCTGGGCCGCCTGGGGCGCATTGCCAGCGGTGCAGGGCCATGGGCAGCAGCTTCAGGCACGTCCTGAGGGTTGCACTGAACGACCGCCCACCCAGCCCGGCCGACGCCTGGGGGGCGCCTTGCGAGGGCGGAGCCGCCCGTGAACAGCATGCCCTCGACTCGACCCGAGCTGGGCCGATTCTACGAATGGATGTCGAACTGCTGGCAGCCGATGTCGTTCCAGAGGTGCTGGGGGTCCGGAAAGATCCCGCGCGCGAGTCGCTCGACGACCACGGGCCCCTCGCGCTTCGCCCGCCGGGCCCTCGCGCCTGCGGCTGGCATGGGCATCGCGCCCGTGCGCCCCGTGGAAGATCGCGCCGGCCTTGCCCGGCACAGCTTGCACGGCCCGCGCGCTGCGAGACAATGGCGCTGGAGCCGCTCATGGCACCAGTGCGCGTTGCCCCCGAAGGCCCCGAAGGAATTCCGCTGCCGCTTCGTCCAATTGCGCGCCGAGCCCCACAGCAGCGGCCGCAGGGCCGGCCAGCTGATCGGCTGCACCCAGCGGCGGGCGTCACGCACCCCAGTGGCCTCGCCGTTCAGCGCCATGCAATCCGAGGCACGCCGCGCGGCCTCTTGGGCAAGCCGGGCAACCGGCCCTGGGGCCGCGCGCAGGAGGTCCAAGCGGGCGCCCGCCTCGTTGACCACCGCGGCCTTGCCCTCGAAGTGCCGACCGCACCGGCCCAACGTCAGCAAGGCCACGCCCGCGGGGGAGATGGCCTGCGGCCACGGGTGCCGCGGGTGATCCAGGCGCGCCGCGGCGTCCGGCAGGCGCGCTCGGAAGATTCCGCGCGGCGGCAGGCCCTCCCAGACAGCGCGAGCCCACTGCGGCGCCACGGCCCCCGCGTTGATGGCCATCGAGCCCGTGCTCAGGAAGCGCCCAAAGGAGGCGATCCGAAGTCCGACCGAAGCGCCCCTGGCCACAGGCCCAAAACTTCGTGCAACCGGCAGCCGGAGCTGGTGCGCGACAGCGGGGGCCAGCCCAGTCACGGCTGTACCCCGCGTGGTTTTGGCGGCAGGCCCGCCGCGCTGGATGCCGTGGACAGGCCTGCCCGCACTGCGAAAGCCTTCAAGCCTGACTGCCTGCGCCCGCGCAGTGGTCTGCCTCTGGGCGCAGATGCTGACTCGGCGGCGGCTCCCGTCATTGGCGTCGGTCCCAAGGTTCCGCGCGTGCTGCACCTTGGCCCTGGGGCCAAGCGCCCAGCGCGGCGCGAGGGCAGCCTCGCCGCGACGAGGCGCGGGGGCTTCTTCTCGTGCACTGGCAGTTGCAGCGCCGAGAGGCCGGCGATGACGTCGGTGGTTGCGCTGCCAAGCTGCTCTGCCGCATTCTCCTGCGCCCCGACGTCCTGTCGTCGACGACGCCGCGAATGGCGATGCAAGGCTGGCCGACCATGGCCTCCCGAAGGGGCTTGATGAGGAGGAGCTTGGCCAAGGAAGTTGCGCCGGAGCAGCCGGCCGCGATCGCCCCGGTAGGCCGAGCCTTTCGCGGGGCCGCGCCGCCCCGCATGACCACCCAGTGGGGCCGCGTAGATCGTGCGCAAGGCCCGCATCACACGCGCGGGGAAGCCCTCTGCGCACCCCGCCTGCAGAAGGTACTCGTGTATCACCTCCTCATAGAACTTGCCGATGTCGATCAATGCCGCGGCTGCCGACGTGCCCTTGGCCCGCGCGCACCGCTGCAGCATGTCGTGCACCCAGCCCGCGCGCTCGCAGGACTTCGAGCCGCCTCCCCAAAAGGCGCTGCACGGGTGCGCCTGCTCCCAGGCCCTGCACAGGGGCTGCCGCGCCCGGCTGTAGATTTTGAACAGCAACGGCAGCAGTCCAATTTGCCTGGCGCCCCCGTCAGGTTCCCCAGGAACACGACGCGATTGAGTAGCATGTCGGCCATGCCGACGGTCTCCTCTGGCCGCGCTTCGAAGTGGTTCAGTAAGTCCATAAATCGCTGCTGCGTCTCCAATGGCAGATCGGGGATCCAGCGCGGGTGGAACTTGCCCCAGCCGGGGCCCGCTTTGGCCTTGTGTCGTCGGCGCACGTGCTGAAACCCCAGGCAGCGCGATAGGCGGCAGGCTATCGCTGCAGCTCCAAGCCCAGGGCTCCGATCCAGCATGCCGGGTCCACATGGGCAACCAAACTTGCAGCAACACCTCCAGCGCTGCGACCCCGTTGACAGGCAGCGGGCAGGGCCCCGAGTCGGCCTCAAGCAGGGCCTCGGCCGGCGGCAGCGGCCCCTTGATCCTCCAGTGGGCGACGCACCCTCCGTTCTGCACGGCGCCCGCCGCGAACGGGCGCCAGCGTGCCCGGCTCAAGAGCTACGGCTTGCAGGGGGGGCCCGCGGAAACAGATCTCCAGCAGCTACTGGAGCAGCAGCGACAGGACCCGAAGAGCAACATAAGCACAGGTCCAATCCAGAATATCAGCGTAGCCGCAGTCGGGTGCCAACGAGACCAAGCGATCGATCACCATTGGTGATACTGCCGAGGCGAAGCTCGGCCAGAAGTACGTCGACTGCGTAGCAATGCAGATCGACGCCCTGCAGTCTACGGTCCCATGGGAGGACGGCCGAGAGCCCACTGCAGGCAGAGCTACAAGTCGGCGGAAACCGCAGAGGTGAAGCCATTTGTGCAACATGTCGCCAGCATAACATCAAGGGCCAGCACAGCGTTACGGACAAGGGCATTACAAGTACTACGGTATTATCGTCATACCACGTCTACATAAAGTACAGCATTAACGACCTGGCCGCTCTTCCCCCTTCCCTTTTTTCTCTCGGTCCTCAGGCTAGAGGATGGTTGGCGAGATGGCCTCCTTCCCCCCCTCCCCCCTCGGAAAGTGTCGGACCCCGCGCGGCCACCGGTGCGCGGGCGCCGGCACACGGCGATGCGGAGGCCCCTGGGAACGCCCGGAGGTGCTGCGTAAGGAAGCAAGAAGGAATAGGATGATGAGGAGGAGGAGGAAGAGGAGGAGGACGGCCACGACAACGACGACGATGATGAGAACGAGGACGAGGAGTAGGGAGAGGGCGAGGAGGAAGGAGGAAGAGGGAGAATAGGCGGAGGAGGAAGAGGAAAAGGAAGGAGGAGGGGGAGGAAAACGAAGAGGAGGAGGAGGAGGAGGAGGAGGAGGAGGAACAGTAGGAGAAAAAGAAAAGGAGGGCGAGCAGAAAGGCCAGAGGCATCTTGGATGCCTGTCGGGGTCTGTTCTGGTGTCTGTCGAGAGTTTCTTGGGGGCCTTTTTGGGCGTCCTGGGTCCAAGTTGGCAGTCCCGGCGCCTCTTGAAGCGTTTCGGGTGCCTCTAGGAGGCCTCTTGTGGCCTCTTGGGGGTCTTTTGGGAGCCTATCGGGGGTCGCTAGGGGCCCTCTTGGAGGCCTGTTGGCGCCTCATTGGCGCCTCTGGGGACAATTTTTTGGCCCTCTTGGGAGCCGTGGCGGCCATTAGGGAGGTGATCGATAGGGGGAGATTCCAATCAGCCCCCCCCCCCCGAGGCCAAAATCTGGCCAAGTTCTTTGTCAAAATCAATGTTTTTTGGTTTCGTCGCCGAGGCCCCCCGAGCCTTTGACACCGCGCGAAAGGCCCCGTCCAGGTCCAGAGTCGGGGAAGGGTAGGTAAACCCTGCCCTGAAAGGGCAAGAAGAGGTCGGAAGAGAAAACCCGCTAAACAATTCACGCCTTGAAAGGCTGGTGGGATTTTTGGCCTCGGAGGGCCTTCGCCGGGCCCCGGGACCGTCAAGAATCAACCCGCGATGAGAAACAGGCCCAGAGTAAATGGTCAGGACTTCGGAGGAACCCGTCTTGAATAGATCGGGACACAGCATGTCTGAGGAGTCGTCCTCTGAGTTTGCTCGACGGGGCCGGAGTTCCCGAGCTGGTTTCCCTGAGAGGGGCGGCGCGAGGACGCGAGGATGCTGCGCGTCGCGTATCGCGTGGCGCGATGCGCGAGAGTAGTTCGGGAACACTTGCGAACCTAATTATACGTGGGGGTTTAATTATCGCGGCCAGGGTATTGGACACCCGCGCTCGGGCCACCTGGCCACAAGTGCCCGTTAATTTTTGTGTCATGGCCAGTTTTGCAGAAGCTTGGGGGCATGATTTGCAGGGGTCCTGTCTGACCAGAATCCTTGCGAGAACTCACCCGTGGTACCTGCCCCAACGGTGGCATTTCGGGGTAATGATGGGACCGCCGACAGCTCGCACCAGTGCTTGGTTCGTCCCTCGAAGAATCCGAAGCTGCCACAGCTGAGAAGACCGACGAGGGACGGCAGAGAGCTCCCCCCAAAGACGTGAGCCAACAACCGTAGTGTTGCATTGCTGCCTGAGCTCAGGGAATGCCTTTGGACATGCCAGAAACAACGAGCAACGTTCAAGGGCCTCAACGCTCGAGGTTCGATCCCTGGCCAGTGGGCCCTCGTGGGCGCCCCACGTCCTGGGTGGGTCCGCCGAGGTTCCGCTTGGTGTCCACCCGCGGGCGTCTCGTGCGCCCCTTGCCCTGGACGGGTCCGCCGACTGGTGCCCGCCCGTCGGCGCCCGGTGGGTGCTCGTAGGCGTTCCGTGCCCTCAGTGGGTCCGCCGAGGCTTCGTGGACGCTCGCGGGCGCCCCGTGCCCTGGGTGAGTAGAATAACGTACGTGGCATGGTTCACCCCACATCTGCCACACCGCGTAGTTTATACAGCCTAGCTCACACCTCATAACCCACATTGCATTGCGTAGCTTCCACAACATGGCCTAGTTCACACTGCATTGCTTGCTCAAACACACTACCGAGCTCACACCACCGCTGGCACACCATAGCTAACCCAACAAAGCTTACCCCGCACAACTTCGATCTCCATATTGCAATAAAGCACTCTTTGGGGCCCACGCTGGCAAACGTTTGTCAGTCTGGGGCAAACGTTCCGTCCCCTGCGGGACCCTTCTGAGGCAAATTGGCTTCTGACGATGTGCACGCAGTGTCCCAGCATGCGCAGCCAGCAAGGCGTGGGGACCTTGCCCCCAAGCGCCCACTCGTCGCCGATTACAGGTCACTGTCAGTCGGGGCGCCCCGCGGCGGAGGCGCCCCCCTGCCAGGGCGCCCCTTCGCGCGGATGGGCCCCAGCCTGTCGTGCACGCGGCTGCCGGGCTGCTCGTGCACGAGGCTGGGCGGGGGGGTCGTCGTCGCCTCGGCTGCGCCGCACGACCTGAGACTCGGCTCCCCAGCTCCTCGAACCTCGACTCATCGATGCTCGACTCCTGGATCGACGACGACGACGAGGACGGCGCTGGCGAGGACGAGGACGACTTCGCGGCGCGCACAGAGGAGTAGCGCGAGGGGTCTTCGCAGAATCCCTGCCGAGTTCTGCGAAGCTGGCAGGTTCCTTACGGATCAGCACTGGCTAACCGATCCCCATCCCCACTGGGCCACGGCACATCAGCCCCCCCACCAGGAGGGGACATGCATTGCGAAACCCAAAGGGAACATTTACCACACATAGGGGGGTAAGCTGGCCAGAAGGGCCAGGTCCATGCCAGTGGGGATGGTGATCGGCCATGCGAGGCTCATCAGACGGCCTCTGCCTTCGAAGAGGCCCCACCCCCGTCCCACTGAGAAGACCGCCTCCCTCGCGCCACCCCCTTGAGCGCGCCGCCACGGCGTCGTTGGGATCGAGATTCGATGAGTCGAGGTTGGGGTCCTTGGTCGACGAGCTGAAGATCGAGAGCCTCTGGTCCACCGACGGGCCCAGGATCGATGAGCTCGAGGAACGGCGAAGCGAGGGTCGACGAGCCGACGGACCGAGGAGCCTAGCTGCCGGCCCGAGTGCCGAGGCTCCTGCGCGTTCTCGGCCCCCGGCCTCGGCCTCCAGAGGCCTGTGCCGGCGTGGCCTCGGGGGACCTCCAGGCATGGCCGTGGAGCGTCGTTGACGTCGTCGTCAGAGGGGGCGCGGCGCGGAGAGCGGGAAGGCTTGGCAGAGGCGAAGCGCGTGGTCAGGAGACGCAGAGTCGGAGGGCACGCGCCAGCTATGATCAGAGGAGCACGGAGTATTGATATTGATACTTTTCCACATTTCCAGGTTTTCCTGTTCTTCCGCGCGGGCTTCAGGGACGAATGGTCGAGCGCGTTCCGTCGCGCAGGTTCTTCGCGTGATGTTCGCGGTGCATTTTTCGCGCATCGGAGCGCCCTCGAAGATTCCAAACTGCATGCTGTATTGCTCTTGGGGGGTCCGCGAGTCGCAGCTGCCGTGGCGCTGTTTTCGAGGTAGCCCCTTCGAGTGCTGCTCGCGGGTGCAACGCGCGGCGCGCGCTGTGCCCAATCGCGCGCGGCGCGGCGCGTGCATCAGCCGGCCGCGCCCGTCGGACCGCCCGGACATTAGTTCCTGATTATAGAACGTGTCAGCAAATGTTTCCGCTTTTTTTTTCGCGCAAG